TCCATCTACCTCTGCTTACAATAAAAGTCAAGCTATTAGGCATCTTGCCAGTCATATAATGCGTATATTAAAATGCAAAGTAATGTTTTGCCTCCGCAGAACTATCATCATTGCAAGATAAGACAATTTGACTGCTAGACCAGGCAGCACTAGCCTTGCTTGCACTAAGACCTGCAACTGAAGGTGTTTCTGGCGTCATCCTTGAGCATGAGTGGACTCAAAGGTAACTAGACCAGTTCAGCACAGCGCTGGGAGGCAGCTTGAGGACTGAAATAACTGGATTCATGTGACAACTAGCAGGCAAAGCTGCTACATTGCCCATTGAGGGAGAAAGGCACCTCTAAAGGCCATTCAGAGCAACACCAAATGTTCAGCCTCATGCTCTGAATCACTGTCAAGAGAGAACCTCTTCCCTTCCACCAACTAGGGCGGGAGCCTAGAAAAATTGGCCCTCTCATTATCTTCTATCTGATGTGACTCTCTAATTGGAGCCAAAAATACTTGGCTCAAAAATATTCCTGTCCCTTTGGTTCCTGCACATCCTCTGGCTCTGTGCAGTAGCAGCGTACTCCTGCTCCGTGAGGCCAGCAAGGTGTAGTACAGGCTGCTAGAGCAAGTGCTGTTTGTGGCACGGAGCATCCCCATCCTGCGCACGTCAGAGCAGCGCCTGAGAACAGCGCTTCTCCACAGCCTTGTTTTCACTGGGTTTCCTGTGTTCCGTTTAGGGGAAACAGGCAACAGGAGTTGTTTGAAATGAAGCCGTAATTTACCACCCTAACATGCTGAGACGCAATTAAATTCAAGCTAATTACTGTAAATAGTTTTTATAATTACTTGTAAAACATTCTACTACCTGTACATCTGTTAAAGTCAGTTGAGGCCTGTAGATCTTCTCTTCTCTCTCTTCTCTTCTCTTCTCTTCTCTTCTCTTCTCTTCTCTTCTCTTCTCTTCTCTTCCTTTTAAGGCAAGGCATAATACTTCTCTTCTCTTCTGCTTGAAATCTTCAAAAAGAACAAGCTATGCCATAGAAACTCGGGATAGAAGAGACCTGTTTGGGCATGTGTTATATTCCCTTGTTTGTAATGAATTGGGTGCACCAGGAAATATCTCAGTGTTGTCTAGGTTGCCTTTCATAGCTATATCTGCTACTACCTGATAAGACTCTTCCA